TGGACGTGGATATTTTTTCATGCAAACATTTTTATCCATGCAAGGTGATGACGGCCTATTGATTCCACATGGTCCATGCATCATGTGCTTTTCCACAAGTTCAAACCCAATTGGATCGGCTTTTTTATTTGGAAGTTCAGCAGAGATGATTTGATTAATCTCATCTGGTGTTGGGATTCTTGATGCTCTATCCAACCAAAGAAGCATATGTGCATGGGGCAGCCCACGTTTTTGAAACTCAATAGTGTGAACTACTAAATAAAAAAAAAAGAAAAGTATTATCAGTATTGTAAATTTGTTTGATGGTTAGAAATAATATATTTTTAACTGACCTGCAATATATGGCTTGAAGAATAGTCCTTGCTCTAGATCTTTAAGCAATTGGTCGAGTTTCATTTTGAAGACACGACTTTCAATATCTGGTCTTTCGTTTCCTGATGCCCCACCATAGGTAGCAAGATGATCTTTTATTTCTTTCCAGTTTGGGTTTGCAGTCATTGTGATGAACAAAGTTGGATTTCCATACGCTCTACATATAGCCATAGCGTCATGATACTTTTCTACCATGTATCTCGGACCTCCCGTAAAACTTGATGGCAATATTATTCTCTTTCCATGTTTTTTTCCTTCTGTATCACCTTTACCAACTGCATCATATATATTGTTGTATAGATCTGCTCTTAACTGGTCTTGATTATTCTTTGCCCATGTAAGTCTTTCTTGTTCTATGGCCGTGTATGCATCAACTGCATATTGGTGAAATAAGCGGCCCCCCTTTATAATTGTCATGCCTTCAGAAAGTCTTGTTTGAATTTGATAGGCGTAGAACTCTCTTATACTGATGAACGTCCTTTTTCTTTCGCCATATTGAGTCAGTGCATGTGGAATTTCAGTATGGTATCCATATTCACCGTAGGGAAACAACAACGGATATTGTAAGCTCATAAACAAAGGGTGGTTGTCATTTATTTGCTGCAAGTGATTTGACTGCAACTGTAGAATGACGTCTTTGTAGCCGGTGGTTGCTGTCATATCACCTACAATTAAGCCCGCCACTTCGTTCATTTCTGGAAGATCATATTGTTTCCCTTTGCTTTTTTGGCCAATTAATCTTATCGTTAAGTCTTCCACTTGATTAGCTTCGTATCGATCTCGAGCTTTTCGGAAGAATTTACACAAGCAGTTGTGTTCGTCTAACATTTTTATCAACCCCTCAACTACTTCTGGTTGTAACTTTTGATCCGCTTTTCGACGGTGCATACTATTTATCCGATTGGAGACTTCATTTACTGTATCAAAGATATACATTTGCAAAAATTTGGGTGGTTGATCAGGCATGGGTAGCAAAGATCCAATGCGGTGATGATTCTGTCCATGTATCCTGAAACCAGGAGGTCCACTTCCTGATGTGATACTGTGATCTATTTTTGCTCCAATGGATGTGAATGCAAGGATGGAATTGTAGATTCGTATGATCTGACGAAAAGCTGAACTATTGTCCAATAGTTGTTGAAGATAAGCAGGTGGCCTTCTTAGTGGTGGAAGTTTAACACGGCCTTGTTGACAACATATCATGAAGATGGGCGCTCCCGTTCTATCAGTTCCTGTTTTTTCTGAATACCAAACTAATGCATTGCAGTAGTTGCATTGCATAATTGGATTTTCTTTGGACAGTGAATCTAATATTTTTAGAAAATGTAGTTAGTGAATCATAAATATACAGTAAAACCGCTATAAATTAATAATGTTGGGACTTAAAAATGTATTAATTTATAGAGTTATTAAGTAACTGATTAATTATTAAATTATCAAGAAATTAATATTTTATTAATTTAAAGAGATAATTTGGTTCTAATTCAAAGTATTTGTCAACAAAGTAAAAAATTATTTTAACAATATAAATTTTATTCAGAAAATATTATATTAGTGAATTTGGAAAATAAGTCAAACAATATTTATAAACTTGAAACAATAATATATTTATAGTTTACTATATTGAAATTTTTATATATACTTAAATATATAGTTATTAATTTATCTAATTCTTGGGATTATATTTTTACATAGAGTTTCAAAAAAATTATTATCTTATTATCTTATTGAAATTTACTAATTATTATATTGATCCGACTTGGGACCGGAAAAATTATTAATTTATAGTGATTATTAATTTATTGAATATTACTTTATAAAAGTTCTACTGTAATTTTTTTTTTTTTTTGCATTTGGATTGTTAGACGTACCTTTAAGTTGTTTCCTTTCCTCTCTTGAAGACTGTTGAGCACTTGTGGATGCATCTCCTGGACATTTGAAATCTGAGAATTGAGGTTTTTTTTTAATTTGGTAGCAATGGTTTAGTGGCGAAAAAAAAATTAATATTGTACCTTTTTGTCTTTTTGATTGTCGTTTGGATAAGATTATTGCACGCCTCATTGTTCGTGTATTTTTTTGTCTGACTGAATATTTAAATTCAATTTTCAGAGCTGGAATTGTAAGTGATTTATAACAAATTTAAAATAAAAGATTATGATATTACCGTAATCTGTACACCTATCACAGCCACCTAATTGATTCAAAATGGTTAGACATAAGCCAACTTTAATAACAATATAATATATTGGCAAAGGTAATAGAAATGCATGTAATTTACATACACTTACAGTCGTAAAATTTGGTGATTGGTTTTTTGTTTGTTATATTTGTTGCGGTTGAAAGACCTGCATGAAGAATTAAGGTTAATGGTTTTTCTTTTGTATTTTGTAGTTTACTCGTTACCCTAAATAAGCTAATATTGTCTATGGCTGAAGCATTTGTTTGTTAGATATGCATTAATGTTGTTTAATCATGTGTAAGTGTAAATATTTACCTTTATTTGTTCGGGTTTTTTGTTGGCTGTCTTTATTCTTGATTGGTTGTAAGATTTCCTGGCTTACAGAGTTTGGACGTGCTAATAAATGATCTTCTGGAGTGGTCCGTGACCTCCATCTTTTGGATAGCATAATCGATTTTCGTATATATCGCGCATTTTTCCTGTTTACTGCACAACACAATTGGGATTATATTTGGAATAGTAATTCTGTTTAGCAAATTACATTATATGTGGTAGTGTGAAAGACGTCTGGATTATGACATCGATTTTACCATATATGGAACATCTGGTACAACCACCTAAACAAAAATGAAATAGTTATCAATATATGATTATCTTTTACAGTAAATATTAGAAAAGAATTACTGTAATTATGTTTTTAGTTTTGAGACGTAGGCATCTATTATATTAAAAAAGAATTCTATTTAGAAGAATAAATTTTATTTACTGTGTTATTTACCTAATATGCTATTGGACTTTTATAGTTACATAAAACTTTATTAAATTTATTATTCTCATTAAATTATCAAATGCCTAATTTTTTGTTACTTTTCTCATTAAGGATCCAATATTTGTTTTCCTTCTTATTGAAAGGTCCATTATTATTATTGAATTTAGAACTATCTTATTTTCTTTGTTTTTAATTCGAAATTTAAAAAATATATATAAAAAAAATTCCAAAACAAAATTTTTAAAATAATATTATTAGAGTCTAAATTTATTTTACCGAAAAATCCTAAAATATGTTAGCCCAACAGTATTTATATAATATAAATTTTTAATATAAGATATTTCCATTTCATTTTTTTTTTGATAAATTTAAAGTAAAATAAAATAAAGAATGAGATTAGAAAAGTAGGGAAAAAATAAAAAAGGAGAAGAAAAAGTGAATAAAAAAACATAGCAAAATCGAAATAAAAAAAAAACAAATATATTAAGGTTTTATTGTATGATTTTAATATATTATCTTCTTATTAAACCAAACACACGTTTTAGTATTATTTTTTTGACAACAACATGAATATGATTAACAAAAAGATAATTAATTTTATTTTATATCAATTTAGCATTATTTGTAGATTAACTATGTTGATTATAATGTGTAGACCAATAAAATTATCTTTTAAAATTGTATTTTAAAACCAACGTTTTTAAATTTAATTCATAAAAAATAATGTGTATGTACTAAGTGAGAAACTTACAATGATAATATATGAGTGGAGTGGGTTGTTGTATTCCATCCGATACATCTGATGTTCAAATGGTTAAAGTGCATTAATAATTCAAAATACAGTAACATTTGTTGTAAAAAATAATGTAATATAGAGTAAGGTTAGGAAGATGAACTGGATCTGGTTGTAATCATCTCATGGCCACGTTTTCGTTTTCTCTGTTTATTGTGTTCCATGTGAGACGGTTGATGTGGTTGACCGTCTTCTACCATTTCGGTGGTTGTGAATCAAACTTCGCCGTTTTTTTTTTCTTCTTTACTGGTGGTGTGTGTAAGTCATCAATAACAAAAACAGCGAAATGATTCTGTCAATGTAAAGAGAACTTCTTTTTAAAAAATTAAGATATGGAGACTAATTGCGAAGATATGATTGAATTGGTTGTTTAGGTATTGAAAAAGATACTATTAAATTGTATGATTTTTTTACTTTTAAGGAGGCGTGAGTGAAGGACAGATAATTTGGAATAAATGGAGAAGGTGTATTTTTGGTTTTTTATTAGCATTAGTTATAATTTAAATTAGTTATGATTAGAGTAAATTATGGGGTTATATGAGTATATATATAAATGGAAGGCTGTATAGAATATTTTCTTTTAAACTTGAACGCTTGTTAATTATCCTCCATAATTTTAATTTCACAATTTGATCTTGTAGTGTGCATATTGTGCAAGTAGGTGGCTTTTTAATTTCGCTTTGGAAGAACTCATGATTGGAAGGATATAATAAGTCTTTTTGATAACACAAATTGTAAAACTAATAAAAGACAATTCATTGAAGTGGCCGGGAAAATGGGAAAACTGAAGCAAAACGAAAAGGAAAATGGAAGACAGGAAAAAGTTTTTGAAAGCGAAAAAAAGAAGAAGACAACAGATGGCGATATTGTGAATAGTGGTGGTCGATTTAGTGACGTGGGCGCTTGTTTTTAATTTCACCATTGAACACCACCTGGTCGTCCGGACTTGTGGCCTCAATCTTTCCCTCATCATTGTCTCTGTTCAAGTTATCCTCAACTGGTTTGGTTTTCAGATCAACGTTGTCCTCTACTATGCGTGAGACTGTAATAGTTTGTCGAGAAGTTTCAAAGTTGAAGGATGTGATCTTGATCTGGAATTTGCAAGTCCGGCCAATTATTTTTTTCAGACATTCTGGTATGTTGGTGTTGGTCGCGTCACCTCCAACCTTAGAGAACCGTACAAAATTATAAAATTTAAATGTCAGATGTGGAGAGATAGGCGAATTAATAAGGGAAACGATACCTGAATGTTCTCATTCAAAACATCATTGGCACTTCGTCCGAGAAGCTTGATAACATCTGGGTCGAAAAGGACGGAGGTAGCTGCGTCGTTGTTTTCGTCACAGAGATTTCAAAGCGGTACCTGGATATACAAATAGTTGTTGTTGCATTTACGACTTACTGTGTTCTTATGTGGAATCGGATAATCATAAGGTTAGCAATAAAACCTGATGAGACCAATGTTGTTGGTTTGTTTACACGTGGTGCAATATAATGATACTTTAGACTTCCCCAACTTAAACATATAGTTTAAGGTATGTTTGCATTATTGAGCGGTATAAACTATATGTATTTTTAAAGCGTAGGTAATTTGCATTTGAAAAAAGAAAATGGAAATAAAAAACATGAGAAATATATTGTTGTAATGCATGATGGTGATAACTCATGATTCTCCAGCGGCATCATAAAATCTTTTAATGTGGCTAACTTGTCCAACCTGCTTTATTTTCTCTGCTGAGTGAAATTTCTGTAAGCCTCTATAGATTTGTTGAAGAAAAATCGGGTCGCTGGTGTTGAATGAAGTATTAGTTTCCCTGAAAATGTTTCGCTACATTAATTACATGTATTTTTCTTATACTAATTATATATTTATGTGTGGTTTCACCTTGGTATTTGTTTGGGTTCACGCTTGTGACCAGCATGGTTGAATGTTTACGGTCTTTGATGCCCAACGTCTCACGGAATTTGGATGCTTGGTCGTCCCATATAATAAGCCGCACAATGGTGTTCCTGCATATTCTAATATATTAAAAGTGTGGTTTAGAAATAGGTATTTTGTGAGATGCTAAAGAAGTACCTGCTAAGCTGTAAGCCTACCAAAATTTTGGTGTTGTACTGGGAATTTCTAAGATCTGTTCCTTGTATAATACGGATCTTGCCAATCACATCTTCGTGAAAATGTTTGAAAGGATATAAGTGAAGTTGTTGTAAAGTTGTTATTAACTGAATATCATTGTATGTATATTTACCTGGTAACTCTGATTTTGTGCCTGTTAACAGTAGCAGCTCTTTATATTTTTTGATCCAGAAATTGTTGATAGGTATCTGAGGCATTTTCTTGTCCACGACGACAATTGTAGTTTCTCTTGTCACTTGAATGATGTATTTGTGAGGGGTGAGTTTATACCTCCGATTGTTCTGACGAACTTGGAATTGTGAAACCTCATATATTTGGCCTTCCATAACCTTTTTGTGCTTCTCCGCTATTGAGGAATGCATGTTGCTCTCGATTAATGTGCCCTGTTTTGAACATGAGGTGTTAATAGCAAATCAGAGAATAATGTTAAAAAGTTGTAGAATAGGTTGCAATACTTTTGCATCTAAGAGAAGGATGATGGTCCCTAATTTCTCATCTATCTTTGTGTGATTGTATGTCTCCATGATACGACTAACCCGAACGATGAGTGTGAGGTTGGAAGATCCAATATTCAAGTCTGTGAAATCTGAGTACTTTTTACATATAGATATTTGGCCTATTCCTGTGGTGAAAAACGTGTGGACAAATCATGTTAGTTAAATTTATGGATTCAGTTTTCATTATATCTCAGATGAAGAAAAGTTGTTTACCTTGTTCATCATTTTCCTGTAGATTGATTCGTACCTCGTTCTGATTTTGTTTTGGGAACTGCATTTTTTGTAAACAAAATTAACGTTTAGTTGTTTGATATACTTTTGATTTTGTGGATCTTTATATTGTATGTTCTGATTTTAGGTAGACGTATCCTATTTGAGAAATTTATGCAATATAATTGATACTTTTATTGCTGAGTCAAGGTGGTTGGATTTGTTAGTGGTTGTAATTATGTTTTGCTGAAAAGTTATGGACAAAGAATATACTTTGGTCGATATGTAGAGATTTGGAATTAAGTTTCCCGTGAGATTGTATGTATCATATTTACATACGGCAATATGAATATCATGGAACATTTGTTGTAAAAAATAATGTAATATAGAGTAAGGTTAGGAAGATGAACTGGATCTGGTTGTGAATCAAATCTCGCCGTTTTTTTTTTCTTCTTTACTGGTGGTGTGCGTAAGTCATCAATAACAAAAACAGCGAAATGATTCTGTCAATTTAAAGGGGACTTCTTTTTTGAAAATTTAGATATGGGGAGTAATTGCAAAGATATGATTGAATTGGCTGTTTAGGTATTGAAAAAGATACTATTAAATTGAATGATTTTTTTTACTTTGAAGGAGGCGTGAGTGAAGGGCAGATAATTTGGAATAAATGGAGAAGGTGTATTTTTTCTTGTTTATTAGCATTAGTTATAATTTAAATTAGTTATGATTAGATCAAATTACGGGGTTATATGAGTATATATATAAATGGAAGGTTGTATAGAATATTTTCTTTTAAACTTGAACGCTTACTAATTATCCTCCGTAATTTTAATTTCACAATTTGATATTGTAGTGTGCATATTGTGCAAGTAGGTGGCTTTTAAATTTCGCTTTGGAAGAACTCATGATTGGAAGGATATAATAAGTGTTTTTGATAACAGAAATTGTAAAACTAATAAAAGATAATTCATTGAAATGGCCGACAAAATGGGAAAACTGAAGCAAAACGAAAGACAGGAAAAAGTTTTTGAAAGCGAAAAAAAAAGAAGACAACAGATGGCGATATTGTGAATAGTGGTGGTCGATTTAGTGACGTGGGCGCTTGTTTTTATTTTCACCATTGAACACCACCTGGTCGTCTGGACTTGTGGCCTCAATCTTTCCCTCATCATTGTCTCCGTTCAAGTTATCCTCAACTAGTTTGGTTTTCAGATCAACGTTGTCCTCTACTATGCGTGAGACTGTAATAATTTGTCGAGAAGTTTCAAAGTTGAAGGATGTGATCTTGATCTGGAATTTGCAAGTCCGGCCAATTATTTTTTTCAGACATTCTGGTATGTTGGTGTTGGTCGCGTCACCTCCAACCTTAGAGAACCGTACAAAATTATAAAATTTAAACGTCGGATGTGGAGAGATAGGCGAATTAATAAGGGAAACGATACCTGAATGTTCTCATTCAAAACATCATTGGCACTTCGTCCGAGAAGCTTCATAACATCTGGGTCGAAGAGGACGAAGGTAGCTGCGTCGTTGTTTTCGTCACGGACTGAGATTTCAAAGCGGTACCTGGATATACAAATAGTTGTTGTTGCATTTACGACTTACTGTGTTCTTATGTGGAATCGGATAATCATAAGGTTAGCAATAAAACCTGATGAGACCAATGTTGTTGGTTTGTTTACACGTGGTGCAATATAATGATACTTTAGACTTCCCCAACTTGGATTTGCACTTGCATGATATGTAGCACCATCCTGCTTGTTCTGGAACGTCGACAATTGTACAGTAGCAAAAGAAGCTAGCAACCTGTAATAGTAATTATACGATGTATGATTAAACAGTAGACGTAGACTAAGATAGTTGGTTGTATTCCTTTTTGATTGCTTATCTGGCCCCCAATTTTGGTTTAAATAAAAGGCCCCTAAAACGTAGGAAAGTGAGTCAAATTTCTTATGTTAGAACGAATAAGTATCATACCTGTGGCGTTTCAGTTTTAATGAATTGGTAAATCTCATTTAGAGAAACTGTCTCTAATTTGGTAATAGCAGCGGAGGAGCTAGTGACTTCTGCAATATTGTCTCTACCATCACCCAACCTGTGAAAATGTTGTTGTAGTATATTTTAAGTTTAGTAGAGTTTACAACAAAAATAATGGTAAAAAATTATATTAGCAGACCATGTTAGGAACTCTTTAGTTTCCATAATGTCTGTGTCGAAGAACAGGCGTGTGGATGATGTCGAGCTGAGGGTCACTGCGTCTGAGAAGGCGGGGAACATACATTATAGTTGAGTAAAATGTATGGTACAGAGGATGAGTAAGATAAAGAGGTTTACCGCCAAAAGTTTTTGGGTTGACGGTGGTTATAAGGACCACGACAGGTTGGGCATCACTTTTGTTCCATCTGTCTCGGAATGAGGCGGCAATATCTCCCCAGAGGTAAATGCGGATGGTCTCCCCACTGTCAAGGAAAGGGAGAGAAGAGACAGTCAGTAAGCAAATTTTTTTTTATGATGCGTTCTCTTTTTAAGTGAAGATAAACAGATAGTTTTACTCTCTCATAAGCAGGTGCAAGAACACTCTATCTTTTGATCTGTTGCCTAGAACTTCAGGTGCAGTGGCGTTGGCTGTGACAGAGTGAAGGTTATCGCCGCTTATGAGGCGTAGCTGGCCAATGACATCTACAGAAAACATAACCCGACATAAGTTACGGCGTATCTTATTTAAAGTTGATCAATGGCAGAGATGATTTATGAAATGAATTTTCGTACCAAACAGATCAGTTTCCATGTCGGCAATGGCAGAGAAATCATTGAAGGTGCGGAGTCGGAATTTCTGTTCGTCAATTTCCTGCTCTCCCTCAGATACTTCCACCATTGTCGTGTGGTCCGTGAAACAAATGGCTTTTGCGTGGTCGGTGACTTTGTAAAGCGTTTTGCAGGGTTTGATCATAAATTTTTTCAACTTGTAAACTGAGCTTGACTTCAGCTTGTCTTCATAGCGGTAAAGCCGGTTTGCAGAAATGAAAGCTTGCACTGCATTAGACTGTGGGATTGAAAATCAAAGGAGGTTTAATAACACGAAGAGTAGTATGGCAAGAGAGAAATGATGTAGCGTTTGTTAAATAGCAAAAACAGGATCATAGTAAATGTAGAAGTAGTTGTAAATCGGTTTGTTCTAAGTAATAGAAAATGTGAGTGGTGTAGCGTTTTTTAAAACAGTGAAAGCGAAAACAATCACGAAAATGCTTGTAAGGTAACTAACATGAATTTTTTTTTTACCCTAAGAGCAGAAGAAGATGAATTAGTGTACCTCTGAGTCCAGAAAAAGTAGTTCAACACCCATCAGTATGTTGCCTTTTTTAAAATTTCTGGCTTCCCAAAAGTGAACCAGGCGAGCTAGCACTTCTTCGTTGCAGAAGTCACCTTGATTATTGTTAAGAATCTGGAAATTGAGTGGCTGAGCAGAAGGACGGAGAGATTTGGAAGCCATGATTGAAAATGGTAATTTGAGTGCTACGGTTGTGGAGGTGTTGGTGTAGATGGAGGGTTGTGTGGGGTTTGGATTTATAAGCTTGTGAGAGGGAGAGGGTAAATATGAGAGTAGTGGCCATTAAAGCCATTGAATCAATAGATCAGAGTGGGCAATGAAGATGATGAAGTGGGGAGAGAAGTCGATTAGCCAGCAATTTTCTTTTTTGGAATCTGAAAAGTTTTGATGAGGAAGATGGTAATAGAGACACGGAGCAGACGGAAACTGAAGAGGAGGAAGGAATTCTAGACGTAGGTTATTTTTTTGAAGAGAGCTTTTATTTGTTGGGCTTCAATTTGGGTTTTAAGCTAAATTTTTGTTACGTAGGTTATTTTTTTGTGTGTATGGATTTAAAGTTGTTAATTTTTTAATGGGCTACTCTTCTTCTTTGTCTTTTCTAGCCGAATGTATAACGTACACCCAATCATATTTATATGTAAATGTCGTTGTCCTTTTAGAATTTATATTTAAACCCAAGAGTATATACATGTGTAAATCGTAGATAATAGGATAAATAAATTAGAGAGTCTCAAGTTCTGAAAAAAATTAAGTTTCTGATTCGCCTTCTGCTTATTATGGTAATGTTAAATTTTTATAGTGAGTTGACGTTTGAAAAATTGAAATGCAGGCGTGCATTAAAAATAGGGAAAAAGGATACAGCCGTTATTATTTTAAGGTGAAGAAGATGAAAGGAATTAAAAGACAATGTGAAAATGGTACGGGGAGGCTTGTATACTATCTGAGAATATCTTTCATGTAGAGTCCGTTGAAAGTGGTGACACGTTGCCGATACTTGCATTTACGCAACCTAATAATTTTTGTTTCCACATTTTTGCCTCTTTATCCCACATAAATAGCGAGCCACCATGGGTAGAGTATCTCGTTGTTGCCTGGTCAAATGAATTGTTCTCTTCCGTCCATGATTTGAATTTGGAATAGAGATGTGGGTTCCTATTAAGGAGATAAACAATTGGTGTTTAAAAGAGGATTGCTTTCTGAATCAATAATTGGATTACAATCTTACAGTTGTTCATTGATTTTGACTTGAGGATTGAGGTTTGTTTCCTGGTTGTCTGAGTTTTTGTGGGAGCAGTTGGTGCCTCTATCTTCAGCAACTTCATTGAACGCCATGATGCTATTATATTGATGGGAGGCGTTGTTTTTAATTCTTGAAGAGATAGAAGCTACACTTCTTGATTCCTGAAAATGAAACCACGTAAATTTTTTTATTAGTATATATACAAAAAATGTTGAAAGTAGATGGAGCCAGTAAAGATAACAACTACAGAAAACAATATTTAGCACCTTCACATGATGGTCAGTTATTATATTATTGGAATGATAGAGATCATCATCACGTACATATAAAGAAATCATGGGAGGATAATAATTTTCGGTACTGTAATTTTTCTGCAATTTAAGAATATAATTGAAGAAGTATTGGGTCGCGTGGTTTATATAGTGAAGTGTTACGGGAAAACATATTTGAAATCATTATTATAATTGCATGATTCTAGGGTTTTTATGGGAAGACATGATCGGAATCATTATTATAATTACATGACTGTAGGAATTTCTGTGGTGTGTATTGGAAGTTTCAGTGCGGAGTTAGGGAGAAAAAAAAGGAAGTGTAATTGCGTAATTAAAGGCTGAGATCTATAATTGCCTTATGTTAAGGTATAATGTACGTACACATGTAGAGCTGTTTGTATATAGTTGAGAAGTTTTTTTTTTTCTTTTTCATTTAGGTTTACAAACGGTGGCATTTGTGTGAGACTTTTTTTATGCTACCTGCAGAATGTGTTTATATATTTTTATTTGTTTGTTATTTCACTCTGTTTATTTTTTTGGCAATTAATATAAAAAGTCACCTTTAATATAGATTACTTTGTCGGAAGATTTGTAATCACTTTTAATATAGATGGAATTTGTTTAGTCCGGTAGAGAGAAGATACATGTGAGTTTGTATTTATTTGTTCACGAAGCTTGAATATATGTTGTGGGATTTCCGTCGATGTGTGTAGAGTGGTTGAAAAAAAATATGAGGAATCTGTTTTGAAAAGTAAATCATTTCTTTCCTTTATTTTCATTTGTAGTGTATGAGGAATCTGTTTTGAAAAGTATGGAGTTTTGTTTTTTCATTTTAATGAATAAAGATTTTCTTAATGGTAAGTTAACTGTAGAAAATAATATTTAGCACATAAAGATCAGCATCACGTAAATGATTAGGTTGTATAGATTTTATGCAATTTAAATTAAATACAAAATGCAACTGAGGAAGTAATGAGCTAATTATTGGTTTTGAATTTATTGTTTTTTATTTTATTTTTCAACCTTAGAAAAATGATGCCACATGGCACTGTAGTAGATAATTTTTTTTGCTTAGGTGGATAGCCTAAGGAGCCCCAAATTGTCCCTTTTATTTAGTATAGATGTGTACTCTAAATAACTATTTAATGAATTAAAATGGTGGTTTAATCATCTTGAATTTTAGATGACACTTGATGTTTAAATACAATTTTTCGTTGTGATCTCGAACTTTAAAGATGTTTATGTAGATTCGAATCTAAATTCCTGTTTATTGAAATTTTTTATATGACAGTGGTAGTAGCATGCATATACCAAACTATTTTTTTTTTTTTTTTTTTGAACATTACTTTTTTTCTTTCTTTCTGATTATTTATTTAGATAAAATGTTAATTACTTTGTTAGGACCACAGTCCACATTATATATATGTGGATTCAGCTGGATCCTTACGTAACTAAAGCATATTCTCAAGTTGCAACTTTAAGAACATCACATCATTTTGATAGCAGATTTATATATCATCCACTGAGATTAATTAGATACCTTGTTCATTAGTTTTAAATTTTTGCTTTACCAACAACTTGATAAGAACATGAAAAGTTTCCAAATGAAACCTATTTTTACAAATAACCCTTCCAGTTTCTTTTTTTTAATCATTTTCTTTTACAACCGAACACTAGATTTTAAAGAAATGTTTTTAAGACTCTTGATCATGAACCAACCTTCATAAACATTATTTACAAGAAACTATCAGCATTCATCAATATACAAACTACAAAACACAGCATCACCATGAACATGATGAACCAAAACCACATAAACATGTTACACAAGAAGAAAAATAAACTTACACAGCTTTCTTCTGCGTGTGCTTAACGGAGAAGAAGACATAAACAGGAATGTTCACAAGTCCAAGAGAGACCAAAAGCCAGAAGAAGTAATCAAGATGTCCTTCATCAAGATTGTCCGGAATCCAGCCATCTTTACGAGCTTAAGTCAGTGGCGGTCCCAAGAAATATTTTGACATAGGTCACAAATTAATTTTAATATAATTAAATAATATTATTGTCATAAAATAAACAAAAAGTCTAATATCAGTACACTGAAAGCGAATCGAACTCAGATTTGGGAGGTTCAACAGCAAGATATTAACCAACTAAGCCATTTCTATCTTAATGTTCAAGCTTAAATTTTTTAAATTTAATAATATGGTAGGTCAGATGATCTCCCTTCTCTATGTGGGTCCGCCCCTGGCTTAAGTAGCTTCCAACTGCAGTACTGAGGAGAGCTAGAGCGCTGCACAAGCTTCTCATGGCATCTGGAGATTGCTCATAGAAAAACCCGAGCTGACCAATGAAGAAGAAAACCTCTGCAATTCCCATTAGCTTGTACTGAGGTATCTGCCAAAAGATACTCATTGAAACAGAGTCTCTAGCAAACTGCAACCTCACCGTCTCAACGGTAGCTGCAGCTGCAATGCTTAGAACAGAGAGGAAAAGACCGATTCCCATTCTCTGAAGATCGGTGATACCTTTTGGTTTTCCTGTGAACCTTCTCACAAAGGGTACGAGGCAACGGTCATAGACTGGGACGGATATGAGCAATGCAACTGTGTCGAAAACCCCGAGTGAAGCGGGAGGGATCTCGAAAGAGTGGATGATACGATCCATGGACCGTCCTTGCTGCACGAACAGAGTTGAAATCTGCGAGTACAATGCCGAGAAGACGATCCCTGAGGCCCATATAGGGAACATACGGATCAATATCTTAACTTCTTCAACTTGAGTTACAGTACATCGCTTCCATGAAGTGACAAAAGCATCAGACTTTGATTCATCCTCTGAGATAACCCAGCTTTGTCGAGACACCTGCACAGAGATTGATGATTCAATGAACGTTTTCCTAAAGCTCAAGTTTCAAATTGAAAGGAAGGGAGAAAAATATTTTCTTGTAACCGTCCGTGTGATCAGTCTTCCTGCTTCCAACAATCACTGAGTGTTTATCTCCAGTTTCATAGAGTTTTGAGGTATCTTCAGGGACATTGAGGTTCAGTTTACGGTATGATGCTACAAGAACTTGGCAAACCCGAGTAACCGGGCTGCCTCCGGGTTTCCGAAACCGATAAAGCGGAGTTCCGACGAAGAAGCTGGCGATGGAGAGTCCTGAGTCCCATGAACACGGTGGGGATCAAGAAACCGAGACCCCACCCTGAATTCTCTTGAACCCAAACCAGCAAAGTCGATGAGACGAACGAACCGATGTTGATGGAGAAGTAGAACCAGTTAAAGAACGAAGCTTTTCTCACTCGTTCACTAGGGTCAGTATCATCGAACTGATCAGCGCCGAAAGATGACACACACGGTTTGATTCCTCCTGTGCCAAGTGCGATAAGGTAAAGACCGGAGAAGAAAACAGAGTACTGAAGCGTTGTTGCTGGTGGGCAAAGAGCAAGAACGCTAACACATTCCTCTGGCTTTAAACCCGGAACTGAAGCAGAGAGTGTTAACGAAGCCATTCCAAGGAAATAAATAGCAGAGAAAGAAGCAATTGTCCAGTATCTTCCCCAGTAAGAATCAGCTATTACAGCTCCAATGAGAGGTGTGATAAAGCAGGTGCCTTGCCAAATCATGACTTGACTAGCTGCAGAGACATTTGACACGTGTAGTTCACTTGTGTAGTAAGTGATTAGATTCTTGGCGATTCCATAGTAAGCTAATCTCTCGCAGCGGCATTCGTTGCCTGCGTTGATTCAGATTTTCGAGGGCTAAAGTATCTATCAAAAAACAAGAAAAAAAGAGTGATCTTTCTTTGTTTTTTTTTTTTGTATTTAATTACCAAGAATAAATGGGCAAGCTTTCCAGTTTCCTGTTTTATGCTTCAATGGTGGGTTTCCATTAATGTCTACTGAACCATCTTCAGCTGAAGAAGACAACCCGTTCACTTCTTTAGATTGAAATTGAAGAAAGTATAGATACGATTTGAAAATTCATGAAATGTTAAGAAGCGATTAGAATTCGGAAACGATATTGATAACTAGGTCAAAACTGAGTAAGCCGATTCCAAATTCAAAAATTATTGGAGTAAGAAAGGGAGAAACCTGTAGTAGAGATTCTTCAATTTCAAGGAGTATCCTTTCGTCTTGAATCGAAGTCATCTCGAAACGACAACCTAAGCTGATTAAGCAGCTTTTCATAATATCAACGTAGAGTCAATTAAAATTTCTGGAACTGATCAAAGCCCATTCATTGGATTATTCTCAGTGATGAGTCTTAATCAAAAACCAACACATTTTTTCCAAAATTGGCTTTAGATTTTTCTAAACCGGTTTTCTTCAAAATTCCGGTTGATATATTGTCAAACGGTTCATTTTTTCGTAAATGTAGTTCTGAGTGACACGTGTGCGTAAAAAAGCTGAAATTTGAACGTTTTATTGAAATGGGCCTTTATGTTTTGAGTTTGGGCTTTTACAAATTTGAAATGTACGCCGATGCTTAATTAGATTTAACGAAGAACACATGTATTTCTAAAGCTAACGGAAAAAAATGTTGAACTATAATCACATTCGTATAAGATAAGGTCTTATTACATAAGTTAGTTACACATTGTATAAGTTAGTTACTAAACTAAGAGTCACGTTTGTACTTGTATCTTATACGAAGAGTTGTGTCTTCTAAACACAATGCTTCGTTATGTATAAGTAGTAGATCGAGTCTTTGTTATCAAACATCACAAAAATTAACAACGAGTGTAATACATTCAAAGTATCAATATAAGTTTCGATTATATTCGATACTCTGTTTTTCCTTCATTTCCGTAAACACATCAAACACAAAACATCAACATGGTATCAGAGCTTTACGGTTGAGAGAACAAAGAGAGAACGCACAAGTTCACACAAGCAATAAGCAACAAGAAGATTTTGCATACGTCAATCGCAAGTTAAGCCGAGACGATGCAAGGCTCGTCACATCAAGTGATCCCTATATTCGATGGGGAGAAGTACGACTTCTGGAGCATTAAGATGAAAACTATTCTAAGGACCAGAAAGTTATGGCCCGTTGTTGAAGAAGGCGTTCCGACCAAACTGGCGCCAGCACAAGAAACTCCTGAAACAGCCAGGACAAGGTCGCTTAGAGAAGAAGTGATCTCAAATGATACGTCGGCATTGCAAATTTTGAAAACTGCTGTGACGGATCAGATATTCTCACGTATTGTGGCAGCAACAACATCAAAAGAGGCATGGGTTGCATTGAAGGCTGAGTACGAAGGTTCTCCCCAAGTTCGCTTGATCAAACTTCAAGCGTTGCGTAAGGAGTACGAAAATCTGAAGATGTATGATCACGAAGACATAAAGACTTTCACCGATAAGTTAATTGTTTTGGAAAATCAGTTAACTTATCATGGTGAAAAGAAGACCAACATTCAACTCATACAAAAGATACTCATCTCTCTCCCTGCCAAATTCGATAGCATCGTTAGCGTGTTGGAGCAAACTCGCGACTTGACTACAACAACGATGACGGAGCTAATCGGTATCTTGAAGGCTCATGAAGCAAGACTGTCCGTAAGAGAAGAAAGCAACAATGAAGGAGCATTCAATGCTCGCTCAAAACTAAGAGATACGGGTTTCAAACGAGACAACACCAAAGGCCGTGGGAATCAAGACAAGAAATGGTGTGGTTTTTGCAAGAAAAGCAACCACACAGTAAGTGAGTGTTGGAAGAAACCGAAGAAAAACGATTATGACAAGAGTCAAAAGAGTAACAAGGAGTGTTACAACTGTGGTAAATCCGGCCACTATTCAACAGAGTGCTACTCAAAGAAGAAGGAGAGAGCACATGTAAGTCTCGAAGAAGAAGACTCAAGTGAAGATCATATGTTGTTCAGTGCGAGTGAAGAATCGACAACAACATTAAGAGAAGATATATGGTTAGTAGACAGTGGGTGCACTAACCATATGACCAACGACGAGAGATACTTCTCCAACATCAATAGAAGTATCAAAGTTCCGATAAAGGTTGGAAACGGAAGCATAGTCATGCCGGCCGGTAAAGGAGATATCACCGTCATGACAAGTTGTGGCAAGAGAACAATCAGAAATGTTTTTTTGGTCCCCGGTTTGGAGAAACATTTGTTGAGTGTTCCTCAAATAATTTCAAGCGGCTATCGAATATGTTTCCGAGACAAGAGATGCATCATTCTAGATGCATATGGCAAGAAGATTATGGATATTCCAATGATCTACAATAGCTTCAGGATTAAGTTGGGTTCGGTCCAAGAAGAAGCCATGAATGCGAGCAAGCAAGAAGAAATGGAGACATGGCACAAGAAACTTGGCCATGTAAGCAACGGTCGCTTGCAACAGATGCAAGACAAAGAGTTGGTAAAAGGGTTACCAAAGTTTCAAGTCAAGAAGGAAATATGTAAGGCGTGTAATCTCGGAAAGCAATCTCGCAAAAGTTTTCCAAGAGAATCTCAAACAACGACTCAAGAAAAACTTGAGATTGTGCATACGGATGTATGCGGACCGATGCAGCACAAATCGCTTGATGGGAGTCGTTACTTTGTTTTGTTCCTAGATGATTATACCCATATGTGTTGGGTATACTTCTTAAAACAAAAGTCCGAGACCTTCGTAGTATTTAAGAAGTTCAAGGCGATGGTGGAGAAGCAATCTGATTATACCATCAAGACGTTGAGATCCGATGGAGGTGGTGAATTCGTTTCACAAGAATTCAACAAGTTTTGTGAAGAAGAAGGAATCAATAGGCAAGTCACGTTGCCTTATTCACCACAACAAAATGGTGCAGCAGAACAGAAGAATAGATCACTGGTGGAGATGGCAAGAACAATGCTTGTGGAGCAAGGATTACCGCTCAAGTTATGGGCAGAAGCGGTGTATACTTCGGCTTATCTACAAAACCATCTACCATCAAAGGCTATTGAAGATGATACGACGCCGATAGAGAAATGGTGTGGACACAAACCAAATGTGTCACACTTGAAGATGTTTGGAAGCATATGCTACGTGCATATTCCAGATCAAAAGAGAAGAAAGCTAGACGCTAAGGCAAAGCAGGGAATTCTCATTGGCTATAGCAATCAATCCAAAGGCTATAGAGTTCTTATCTTGGAGAATGAGAAGATCGAAGTATCAAGAGATGTGGAGTTTGAAGAGAGCAAGAGGTGGGACTGGGATAAGCAAGAAGAAATCAAGAAAACCATTGTCTTATCCCTGGACGACAATCAACCACCAAAAGATCAACCCGTAAGCATCTCTAGTCCTAATCTCATTTCACATGGTGACCAAGATTACATTGAAGAAGGAGAAACGTCCGAGCCACCAAAGAAGTATAGAGCCATGAGTGAGATCTTGCAAGTAGCACCAAGAGTGGAGTTCGAAGAAGCGGCTCAAACGATCGAAACATGCATTATTGCACATGAGGAGCCACAAACTTATGATGAAGCGTGTAGCAGTAAAGAATGGAGCAAGGCCATGAGTGAAGGAATAGAAATGATCGAGAAGAACAAGACATGGGAACTAGTAACCAAGCCGGAAAACAAAAACGTGATAAGCGTTAAATGGATCTACAAGATCAAAACGGATGCAAACGGGAATCAAATCAAGCATAAGGCAAGGTTAGTTGCAAGAGGTTTTTCTCAAGAATATGGAGTCGATTATCTTGAGATATTTGCCCCGGTCTCGAGACATGATACGATAAGAGCCATACTTGCATATGCGGCTCAAATGGAGTGGAGGCTATATCAAATGGACGTGAAGTCAGCTTTTCTCAACGGAGAACTAAAAGAAGATGTCTATGTCACACAACCACCTGGGTTCGTGATTGAAGGAAAGGAAGAGAAGGTGCTAAGACTACACAAAGCCTTATATGGTCTCAAACAAGCCCCTCGGGCTTGGTATGGAAGAATCAATTCATACTTTCTTAAAAACGGTTTTGAGAGAAGTATGAACGATGCAGCTTTGTATATTATGAAGCAAGGAAAAGATGTGTTGATCGTAAGTCTATACGTTGACGACATCATCATCACGGGGAACAACGTTCGTCTCATAAATACATTCAAGGAGAACATGAAGAACGAGTTCGAGATGACGGATCTTGGGTTGCTTAGTTACTTTCTTGGCTTGGAAGTAATCCAAGATGATGACGGCATATTTCTTTCACAAGAAAAATATGAAAACAAACTTATTTCTAAGTTTGGAATGGAAGGAAGCAAGAGTGTAAGCACTCCACTTACACCACAAGGAAAAAGAGTAGAAGATGAGAAGGAGTATGGAGACCCGACTAAGTATAGAAGCATTGTTGGAGGGCTTTTATACTTGTGTGCATCAAGACCTGATGTGATGTACGCAAGCTCTTATCTCTCAAGATATATGTCATCACCACTTGAGAAGCATTATCAAGAAGCAAAAAGGGTGTTAAGGTACGTGAAAGGAACATCAAGTTATGGAGTATTCTTTACAAGCGTCGAGACACCAAGGTTGATAGGCTACTCGGATAGTGATTGGGGAGGTTATACCAAAGACAAGAAAAGCACGTCAGGCTATGTATTTAGCCTTGGATCAGCTATGTTCTGTTGGGAATCAAGCAAGCAACAAACGGTGGCCCAATCAACGGCGGAGGCAGAGTACATCGCTGTATGTGCAGCGGCGAACCAAGCCGTATGGCTACAACGACTCTTAGAAGATTTCGGACTAAAGTTTAAAGAAGGCATCCCCATCTTTTCTGACAACAAGTCAGCCATTGCAATCGGAAGAAATCCGGTGCAACATAGAAGGACAAAACATATAGAGATCAAATATCACTTTGTACGTGAAGTCGAGCAAAAAGGAATCATCAAGCTAGAGTATTTCAAAGGAGAAGATCAACTCGCGGACATACTCACGAAGGGTTTGAACGTATCAAGGTTTGAAGATCTTAGAGAAAAGCTTGGAGTAAAACCGAAATGTGATTAAGGGGGAGTGTTGAACTATAATCACATTCGTATAAGATAAGGTCTTATTACATAAGTTAGTTACACATTGTATAAGTTAGTTACTAAACTAAGAGTCACATTTGTACTTGTGTCTTATACGAAGAGTTGTGTCTTCTAAACACAATGCTTCGTTATGTATAAGTAGTAGATCGAGTCTTT